CTCTACTTTTTGTTCTTCTAAAACTGATTAAACATGAATTTAAAGTCAATTTGAGAAGGATTTTATGAGTAAAAACACTAGGTTAGACTTCTATAAATATCCCAAAAAAGTTTAAAAACCTAAAAAGAATATATAAGAGGAAAAGCATTTGAACAAGGATGGAGCCCTGGGGAACCCCACAGTTAAGTAGAAAAGCTGTAAAGGAGTACTCTTATTATTGAACTGGAAAAACTCCCAACCAACAGTTACGGCTGAAACAATTTTGACTCTGTGACACCAACACAAGTGACGACCTAAACCTCTAAAATGGGAAATCAAAATGCCCTGACCTAAGGTTAAGCTGGATCAAATCCAGCTGATAAAAACAAGGACAGTTGGACCGCTAATTTCTTAGGGAAAGATTTAAAATCATGATGACTCTAATTAATTTAAAAAAAACTTTGATTGTTTATTATATATATCCAAACCAGTATGGATGATATTATTTGAATCTTTCTGTTTAGTTGGCTTGAATTGACTATGAATATCTATGATAAACTAAACTGTATAAAGTGCCCTGAGACAATAATTGTTTCTTGAATTGCTTAAATATAATTTATTATTATATATTATATATTTATTGAACTGAATTTCATGAACAGAAAGATTTAGGTTGTTCTTCTTGACTAGAGGTTGTATCACGACATGCCTTTAAATGCAGCTTTTATTTTAAATAACAAATCAGGGATGTGTTCATAAAATCAACACATGGTTCTGTATATTTTAAAAGGTCATAAAATCCCACAGTGTTTTTGTGTGAGATGGATGAAAATTTTACCACCTGAAATGGAAAACTGATTGGTTCAAATTAAAACAGAAATTGACATGGAGGTGAGATGGATGTACTTCAGGAGGATATTTGAATGTAGTTTGATCTGATTAGAGGCTCCCACATGTTTACTTTATCTGCAACATCAAAAGAAGAAAACTAGAAATGGATTTTTCATTATATTAACTTTTTATGATCACATCAATACCAGATTTGTGAAAATTTCACCTGTCATGGTTGCCCTGCCAACAGAGCTCTGCAGCTCCTCCAAAGTTACTGCAGGCCTCTGGCAGCTTCTCTGATTAGTTCTCCAATTCCTGAGTTTTTCAGGTGGTTTTTCATGTCTCAGTAGGTTTGCAGAGGTGCTGGACTCTTTCTCTTTTATAATAATGGGTTGCCATAAAATCTAGAAGCAGTCAGTGAGCTGTCAAGAGCTGAGAACATAGTTCAATACTTTAACTGTGCAATGAACTTTAGCACAACTTCCACCCTGACTTGTCTGCTGTCCTCCTCTTCATGGTGATGTTTGTTTTCTAATGTTCTAAACTTCTGTTCTTTATAGAACAGTTATTTCTGCTCTGATTAAATTAAAGAGGAACACCGTTTTTTTACATTTTACATTGAGTTTTGTGTCATTTGGAGCTGTTCTGAAGATATTCGGTTTTGTTATATCCAAGTAACGTCTTCCTATGGGCAACGACTTGAAGGCACAAACTAAACTATTCATAATTTATTCTTTATGGTACGCCAGCATTCATAGCATGTAGGCGAATCACTGTCCCCCAGACATCCGCGGTTATATTTTTTTTACATTTATATTTATTTTTTTTTAACAAAGCGGCGTGTCTATGACGTCATCCGCGCGCGTCGGCTACCGTTCATTCATCCTGTCCGCTGAACTGCTGCTAGTTTTACTCACATGCCTGGAAGATGTCTAGTGCTACTACCACAGATGATCTCGCTCTTAAAATGGAATTGAACGATTCAGATTAGCTAGCTGAATGAATAGAAGGGGTAGAGCGTAGCCGCCTGTGGCCCGGGCTGCCTGTAATAACTCCAGTCCGGCGCACGGATGACGTCATACACACTCCGCTTTGTTTTAAACAGATAGACATACAGATAGACTTTACTTACTTATCAGGGGCCTCTGAAGGCTTTTGGTTGCAAAAAATATATATATTTAAGGGTGTCAATGAAAGGTGGATAAATAAAAATAGACACCATATTTAACAGATTTGTAATTTTTTAAGCAATTATTCATTCCTAAAAATAAATAAATACAAACTGGAAAAACAAAAGGTATATGAATGCTTTTGCAGGACAGTTTGACCAGGTCCTGTTGCATAGCCACATAATATTAGGTAACAAATGTAATATTGTTCTTTAGCACATTATCACATTAAACTAAAGAGCAGGAGGAAATGCAGCAAATACTTGCCATGGGAGTATTCTTACAAAGATTTCTACATACACGAATATATATACTGTATATTTTTTTTTTTTACTGTTTTATTAAAAACACTTTACTGCCGTATAAATGCGGTTTCAAATCATGTGTCAAAGCACAGTATACACGGAAGAACACCTGATGCATTTAACTTTGATGGAGCTGATGGAGACCTGGCTTAACGCAGGCATCTGCTGCCCCCTAGTGGCCAATCATGTTGCCAGATTACCAGGAAACGTTTCAGGATGTATCTATCGCTTGTTTGTGTGATTAAATAAACAAATATTTAAAGAAAGGAGAAAGAATTAAAATGGAATAAAAAAAAACACATCAAATTGATAGAACATAACAGAAAGCTGTGCAGCAGTCTGATGATTATGGCACACAAAGTTTATGGAGAGGTTATGAGAGGTTTCTAACAAGGTTCAGATCCGTTTTCCTGCAGCAGCTCTGACACAGATCCTGGATGGAAGGTGGGGACATCATGCATGACATCTCCCTCTCTGTTAATTGGCCTCTGCAGGATGTAACGGTAAATAAATTCAACCCATCATTGTTTCCTTACAAATCTGCAAAGGTCGGAAGACAACAAAATGTACACTTAAAAGAAGAGCAGCATCTCTCCATCATATTTTCACTAAAGTAAAACCAAAAAGTGTACATTTAAGAATTTACTCAAGCCAATGCGAAACAAATATTTGGTAAAAAGGCAACTGAGTAACTGCTCAAAACATCTGATTTAACATTAAGAAAAATAAAGCTGCACAAAATATAAAATAATATATTTATTCTGGTATTTAAAAGAATAAAAATAAACACATCTACCAAACAATTACATTATAGCAATATCAGCAACTGTTTTTACTCATAGCAACCGTTTGAAACGTTTTAAAACGTATGAAACAGGTATTAATACTATGCTTTTAAATACATTAAATGAGGTAACTTCTAATTTTACTTGATCTCTGAATACCACAGCAGAATCAGGGGATAAAAAAATAACAATTAAGTCTAAAATATAAACTGTATGTGCCTCTCTCAAGTTTTCTTTACACAAGCTTGTTCTCAATTGAGTGAAGTTATTCATGATGAGTAGAGTAGCCAGAAATCTTTATTTTAACTCAAATTAAAGTAAAACATAAACTGGTAATCTACCGCTAAAAACTGTAGCTGAGTAAATTTGGCTGTTTTACCATCTACTACAGATCAAGCATAGCATTCAGAGAAAATCAGCATCTTTGATTAAAGGAAACTAAAGATGAGGAAATTCTTTGGAATTTGCCAAGTGTATTTAAATAAATGTGAATATTTTGGACATTTTTACCTATTTCAACAATTAACTTCAAAAGTTTAATTTGTCTAGGCTAATAGATAGCAGGTTATGTTAACTTTGCCATCTTCTAACTTTTGCATGGGCGGTTGGTGCCTGTTTCCAGTTATCTTTGGCCTAAAGACAGAAATAAACCATAGACAGGTCTTCATGTAGAGAGTAGACACACCAAAGGGCTTAGAGTCACTAATTGGCCAAATACTCATTATGTATGACTGTGGGAGGAAGCCGGAGTACCCAGAGAGAACTTAATACCTTTTTGCTGCATGGCAACAGGGCTACAAACTGTATCACAATACAATAACAGTGGCATCAGAAACAAAATTGCTGCCATACCTCATAATGAGTTGTTTATTAAGCTGCACCTGATGAAAGACATGTTGCTAAGCAACCAAAAGAGGACAAACTTGTTATCTTTATGCATTTATTCTGTATATAAACACTTGTTGGTGGAGGAGGAGTATAAAACAAGCAAAGAACACCGTAGATCATTCTAATCAGTGTAACCATCTGCCAGGATGGAGCGTTTTAACGCTTCTTTTGGCTGACAGGCTTAAAGACGGAGATTTTATTTTCTAGTAGGACTTGGCTCACGCATACACTTCCTTACTGAATCCTTACACTGAAGATCATATCCACACACATTTTTAAAATGTCAACATATAAATATTACAAATCTTTTGTTTTTCTTATTTAACTTGAGTTTAATTTAATGATTAAATTGAACTGAATGAATTTGAAACTGAATTTTCTGTGCTCATTATGAATAGCATTCAAACTTAGAAAAAAACACAACCTATCAGTTTTTACTGTATTTATATAACTATTGATTTTTTTTTAAAACTGAGTAAATAAAAAAGAGACTCTCCAATAACATCCGATCAATAAGATAAATTAAATTATTTAACATTTAACTATCACCTCTGCTTCTTTGTTTAAGTGTACGATTGTATATTTTTTGTTTAAAACAATTTGAGGGTCAAAGCGCGAGAGGGCCACACAGGTGCGCAATCAAATGATGCTTTCAAAGCCGTTAGCCTTTATAAAGACATTTAACAAACATAATGACGGCAAAAAATTTTTTTATCATTGTTTACTTATTTTGAATCATGTATGTTATAATTTATATAGAAGTTGTTCAACAAGGAAATATAAGTCAGACTAACAGTATACAACATTTCCTGAAAAGTGCTGCCCCTTGCTTTTTTTTTTTTTATTTGTTGCTTCCTGTATCCATAAGCTACATTCCTGTTTTGTGCCTTCAAATTTGTAATTAGACATTTTGGAAGCTAAAATAAAAAGTTTAAAAACATTTCAGGAAGATAAATCATTTGGTCCTGCTTAAATGACAGGTGATCCGGGAATTTCCGAGCAGCACTTGAAGGCATCATCTTCCGCTGCAGCTTTGGAGGATCGTGGATCAGCAGGCAGCTGCCTCTGTTCAACATGAGTGAAATAAAGGCTCCTGTGACCCTGAAGACGATCCTCATAGGAAACTCTGGGTAACCTTTGATTTTCACCGTCACTCTAGTAAGGTTGGATTTAGTTTGTTTGTGTTCAGGTGTTTCACTTTTTTATATAGATGTAAAAAAAAAAAAAGAAAAATAAGATAGGATATTTGAATATTTACATGCACTTGTTAACCATTTTACGTGACATATGAGATAAATGTGTGTCGTTTAGGAGAGTGAATGAAGTTTGAGTTATTTTTCAACGATCTTCTAAGTGCGTGTGTTTACACAGGGTGGGAAAATCCTCCGTCATGAACAGATATGTGAACCACCGCTTCACCAACATGTACAGAGCCACCATAGGAACTGACTTTTTCTCCAAAGCAGTCAGTATAGGCGGAAACACGGTGACTCTGCAGGTATGTCTCCAGGTCATAGAAATGCATGACTCAGACTGCATGCATGGCAGTAAATCCTGAGCTGTCTGTTCTGTGTGCTTTAGATCTGGGACACAGCAGGCACAGAGAGGTTCCAGTCTCTGGGATCACCTCTCTACAGAGGGAGCCACTGCTGCATGCTGGTGTTTGACGTCACCTCCACGGCCAGTTTCAGCGCTCTGGATGTGTGGAGGAAGGAGTTTCTGGTCCAAGGAGAGCCTCAGGATCCATCTGACTTCCCCTTCATTGTTCTGGGCAACAAGACGGACCTGAGCAACCGGCAGGTCAGGGAAATGAAATTATACTCTACAATGGAAAAAGTATAACCTTGCTTAAACTAAAAAAAAAAAGATGTCCAGATATCACATCTAAACTATTTGACTTCACAGAATCTGAATTAAATCACTTGACTATATTATGTTGATGTAAACATTAATACTGCACTTGACACAACTTAAAATCTTTGCCCTGTTCCAAATGATTTTCTGAACATTTCAGTTGACGAACCAAACTAATATATTGACATTGGACCAACCTAATATACTTACTTTTAACTAAATTAACAAGAATTAATGTTTGTATAGAAACCAGTTCATTAAAATATAACCAAATGAGATTTTTCACATATAATTTGACTTTACAATTTAAAATAATTTCCATTTCCCATCTTACAAATTCTATACACCCTGGACAGGTTGCCAGTCCATCGCAGGGCAACACAACCATTCACACACACACTCACTCCTAAGGAAAATTTGGAGAAGCCAATTAAACTAACCATCATGTTTTTGGACTGTGGGAGGAAGCCAGAGTACCCAGAGAGAATCCACACGTGCATGAGAAGAACAGACAAATTCAGAAATGCAGAAAGAAAGATCCCAGGCCAGGAATTTAACCCGCAACCTTCTTGCTGCAAGGGAAGGCTGCAAGGGACTTGGACTTGATCACGTGCTCTGAGTGCATGCAAAGCGCAGTTCACATTTGACTCACAGGAAAAAAATTACCTGCAGGCCATGAATAAATATATACATATTGAGATAAATCAAAAACTTTGTCTTGGGTTCTTTGTACATGTATTTAGTCTCAAAATCCAAAAAGAACGAGTTACACAATCAAATCAATAATTTTATCTAGTTTAGAGTGAAAGCATTACCGGTAGTTTGAATGAACAGTTACATGTTACACTTTTATCAGTGTAGGAGCAGGCCATTCTCTGCCTCATTTAGGATTTTATAGACCAACATAAAGCTTTGAAGGAGAAACCAGATCTTGATGTGATTTCTTACCAGTGCTGCAAATGCAGAGCGACATTTATGCGGATTGTTCTCTGCAAAAAAAAAAAAAAAGCTGAATCAGATTCTGCAAACATCAATGTTCAAGTCTTGCCTTCAGTTTTCACATCTCTTTAGGTAAACAGAGGATACACTGATAAACCTTTTCAACATTCTGGTGTTGTTTTAGCACCTTCTGTTGCAGCATAAGATGCCTATTTAGGGTTATGCCTCTTTGGTAAGGTGAACCTCCCTCTTGGGGGTCAGTTTTTCTGCAGCACCTTACAGGACCATCCTTTTGCTCCATTCACCAGATTCCCAGTCCCTGCAAAGACAAGAAAAAAAAAAGAAACCATGGTATGACACAGCCCCTGTTGTGCTTTAACCCTTTATAGGGCAGGTTACAGTATTTGATCACTTACATTCCCCTTAAAAATGGAGTCCCTCGTCCCTCAGTGAGGTCTAAAGGCACAAGATTTATATCCAGCCATTCAGTAAAGATACTGCTACATGGCTGTGCATCTTATTTTGGCATTTGACCAATTAGATGAACCCTTTAATGATATAGTACCTACTGTAAATTAAGTTTAAAAAAAAAGGTAAAAAGCTAATTGAAAAGTTAAAAAGTAAAGCAAAAAAGTTATTCAGCCTAGTTAACAATTTTGTTATTTTTCGTAATATATTTGGGCAAGTTGGCATTTCTTGTTATCAAATTGACATTCATTTTTGCCATCAAAATATCAATTTTTTTATGTTACAAAGGTATTAAGGTCTTGTCCTGGATTACAATAACACTATTAGCTTGAAATGTTGATTTTTTTTTTTTTTTTTTTTTGTCAATGAGTGCCCTATAAAGGGTTAAGACAGGGATGAGTACAACATGCAGAGTTATTTTCCCCTAAAGATGTATAGTATGTTGGGACAGGGGCGGATTTAGGAAATGTGGGGCCCTAGGCAAAGACAGGCAGGGGCCCCTTTGGATTGAGAAGACAAAAAATAACACAGACCCATTATACAGATAGAGAAATAGAATAGACATACATGATTTGTTCTAGATTTTGTCTCTCTCTATGTATTGTACTCAGCTGACTTTTCATGCTGTCTCAAAAGGAATGAAAGATTATTTATAAATACTGAGCTTACTTAGCTGATTGCTCCTTCCTGTGTTTCCAAAAAGGTGACGGCAAAAATAAATAACACAGTCCTTCTTTTCATTGTAGACAAGCCATGATCTGCTTATCTGTTCTCCATTTTACATTTGGATGAAATAATAGCTGGAAGTAAATCTGCGCCTGTCTCTATTTTTTGGAAAGAACCCGTCCTTCACCTGGAGTGGTCCTCTCCATTCTATCGAGCAGCGTACTCAATCAGACGGCTTCTTTAGCCAGAGTGCCGGGTCACCTTCAAGAAGTACACTGCTCACTAGCTGGGTGGATGATGCTGGAGTCTCGCAGTCTGGTAGAACAACATCATTATGAAAGCCTGGCTGGATCATTCTGGAATTCTTTCCGTCGCAGCCCATCTGTTTAATGCTGAAAACAAGAACACATAAAACATAGTATAAGGCTTTTACCCAGTGGTTGAATATAAGTATATTTACTCAATTGCTAAAGTAGAAATTTGAGGATGTCATGCAACTTTAACTCAGTCTATGCCACTGTAACTAAGAGGAATAATATATATATATATATATATATATATATATATATATATATATATATATATATATATATATATATATATATGATGCATGTCCCAGGACACATACAGATATGACAATTGCTTAAACTACTGAACAGTAAAATATTTCATCTATAATTAACTCGACCCTCAACATCCACAGCTGTACACAATAAAACACATTAAAGCAATGTTATTACAAAATTGTAATGCAGAGTAGTTGGTAATAACTTGCTTATGTTTTTTGAATGTATAACTAAATTATTAAGGACTAAAACACCTAAAACTAAAAGCCTGAGGTTTTCCTGAATTTTAACATGGAAAAAAAAAAAAACCTACATAGATTATTTATCGTTTTTAGCAAAAATGCTCAATAAGACAGTTGCTTATTAGCTGAGTGGATGATGCTGGACTAGCAATTACAAAATAAATTCAAAACTTACTTTAAAATGACCCATCTTTAATGAGGTAAATAAACTTATCAAAATAGGGGAGACGTCCCCTTCGACGGTTTAATACTCACCAGGAGTTCATCTCCACATGAGGGACCCTCCTCAACAGGTGCCAACTTTACCGCTGACATTGCTGCTGCTGGTGTTAGCCGCTGCTGCAGTGAAGAAGCTGAAGTCAGTCATTGTCTCTAACTTTGAAAGCAGCTTCCTTTCCTCCTCCTTTCAGCACCGCTAGGGTAGCTTCTTTTCATCTCTTTCGTCTTCCGTGTGTCTGGAACTTTCTGCACATGTGCAGCAAATATACTGATCCAATCTAGTGGACACTTAATATAATAAGCATTCTAATAGCATTTTAGCAAAATGAATTTTATCAAAAACATGTGCACAAATAAGTATTAGCTGTATTAACCATACATGTAAAAGGAGTTTTATGGGCCCCCCAGGCAACTGCCCATGTTTGGCTAATGGTAAGAACGCCCCTGTGTTGGCAATGAGTTGCATAGTGTTTGTTTGAAAAATGAGTAAAAACTTGAGCATTTTCAGATCTTGGGTTTGTAAGAGCGTTTTAAAAAGCACATAAAGGTGACATCCCATCCCAAGAGATCCTAAGAAAATGCAAATGTAACATATTAAAAGGTTTAAGGGGTGTGAATATTTTAGTGAGGAACTGCATCGGGGCATTTCCTAATTCACTTTCTTCCCCAGGTGTCTCACAGAAAGGCCCTGCAGTGGTGTGAAGAAATTGGAGCAGAATACTTTGAAGGAAGCGCCAAAGAAGACTTGGACCTTGAGAAACCATTTCTGAGAGCTGCAGAACTTGGCCTTCAGCAGGTAATTGAGTCAAAAAGAACAAGGAGACTCAAATCTCTGTTTAACATGTTTATTTTTGATGATAAAAGATACATTACTCCCTACAGTACAAAAAACACACATTGGAAAATACAGGACATTTCCAGATAACCTGCGAACAGCCGAGAGAAACTCGCAACACCTGTGAGTGCTGAGGAGCACCCGTCCCAGGGAAGGAAAGTTCAGAGACCTCGGCACTGCTGATGATGACCTATCTAACAAGGGTGCAAAAATAGTGACCCGGCAAAGGTACTGTGGAAGGAAAGGACACAATTGTATATACCACATGGAGAGAGGAACAAACTCATTAAATGTTTTTTTTTCCATCTTTTTTTTTTTCTTTTTTTGAGAACCTTCAGCTTATGGTCTAACTTAAGGCAACACTACTAAAATACACTGCTTTTGCATGCATGTCTAGTTTTGTTCAACAGACACACCGACACGCACAAAATTATGAATGCATATGAAGAGAAAGTTCGTTTCTAGAAAGAAATCAGAAATCCTAACCTGAACCCAAGGCGGCAAAGCAGACCCTCGGCTCTGATGCTCAGGCCTCTTTTTATTTTTTAAACCATCACAGCTGAACCGCCCTTACAGAAGATCTCCAATCATTTCCGGTCAGAAATCTCCCTGTACACATTTGATGAAGCTAGCAGGATTTCCTCACTCCTAGTGAATCAGCTTGACAGAAACAAAAATCAACCAGAACAATCAGGGAGACTATATATATATATTTATATATATATATATATTTGTTTCTTTAAGTAAAGACACAAAAGGCGATCAAGAGATGACCAACATGTAAAAACAGTTTGTTACAGGTAATTATATAAAAGGCCAAGATGTTTTTTTTGTGTGTTTTATTCTTGCTCTATGAACGATTTAATTTACAAGTGAGTCGAACTGTAAGAGGCCTTCTCAGGCAATTCCATTCAAAGACAACATGTCACAGGTAGCTTTGCACACCAGCTGTGGTCTGAAATACAGAGCCTTAAAGGAAAGACAAAATTTATTTAGTTGATTCACAGACAAAGTGTGTGTGGTGGGGGGTCTACTAATATATTTAACCATTCTAAAAATTAAAGATTTATGAGCATAAGAAGTAGGGAACAACCAACTGGGAATAGGGAGAAAAAGGTCAAAGGATCAAATACCGATTTTTTTTTTTTTTTATCTTGTAACCCTGGAACATTTGTGTTTGGCAAACAAAGCAACACAAGCATTGAGAAATAAACAAGGTAAAAAATAAAACAAAACTCCTCTCCCTGGGTCCACTTCAAAGTTCCCTTCAGTCCTACAACCTGTCCGGTTCTACTTGGAACAAATACAAAAGTCATCTTTCAACAGGAACATACAACCAACCGAGTGAAGGTTTTTAAAAATATAGTGACTTCATGAACACAGCCACCTTGTCTTCCCACCAACACAAACTACGAGGATCGACAGTTAAAAAAAAAAAAAAGAAAAAAAAAAAAGGTGTTTTCTTTTAAAATGCACACATACACATACACACAGGAGGAAAACAAAGCTTAAAAATACAAAAATAAACTACACAAGAGATTTTCTGCGTCACTGCTAATTTTTTGGGGAAGGTTTTTGGAATTTCTTTTTAATGTGTGCAGCCAGTCTGTCCTAGCCAAAGTCCACCATTCTTTCTCTTCAAATCTCATCTTTTTTCCCTCCTTTTGCCGTCCTTTCCAAAGCGTCAGCCATCACGCCTCGTCTTGGGGTAAAAAGCGCACAGTGATGATATTACCAGGAGACTGGGGTCCAGTATGATGACTGTACAGACTTGGTTCTCTATGAAGCAAATTGTTTGGAGCAAAAAAAAAAAAAAAATGTCCTCTTTTGTGGAGGACAAGTGCTTTATTTGTTTCCATACCGATTTTTCCGTTCATCTAAACTAATGCCTCCACAGCCATTTTTTTTTTTCAACACTGTACATTTTATGTAGTCTCTTTCTACATCCCCCCCAGAATTCACAAAACAGGAAAAAACAAAACAAAAAAGTAACATAGCGCTCAGGCTGGCTCCCAGTTTGTGAATGGTGTAAATACTTCTATAATGTTCAACTACTTGGAAAAAAAAGAAGCCAAAAAAATAGATGTTAAAATGAAGGAAGGGGATGTGACTGAAAAAAAGAGAGAATGTGCTTCTAGGTCTGAGTTGCTCTAAAAATATTACGACCAACAGATCAAATAGGAGGAGGGGTTTATCTACAGAAACGCGTCTCAGATTGACTTTCGTCTTGGCGTCTACCAGAGTCGACGTCTTGATCTGAGACATGGGGATGGAGGAGATGAGGACGATGAGAGAGGGTCAGTCTTCCTGATAAAAAGGATAATGGGGAGAAAAAAACAAAAACAAAAGAGGGGATTCTGGGCAACCTCACTGGTCCGTCCTCGCCTTCTTTGGACCAGTTGTCTTGCTGCAATGAAAACACATGAAAGCAGAATGAGCAGTGTTCAGCTACAATCACGTTCAGCCTGTGTTCAAGTTTCAGATGATACTTACGGATCAGGAGAGGTGCCTGGTCTTTTAGCGGCAGGTTTTGCAGAAGTTGCGTCTTTACCAGATTCTGTGGATTGCAGCAATAATTAGATCTAGATCATGATTTGTTGTATGTATTCAGTTTGATGTTTCACCGCAAACTGGTTCCAATAACCAAACCTTTTTTATCCTTTAACTTAATGTAGATGCCAAAATTGAATGGGGATGCTGTTAATTTTATTTAGCCAATATAATTTTATGTCATAAAACCTACATGCAATTAGACTGAGGTAATACAGAAGCAGTAGCTTTTATTTTTCTTCAGAGGTTGTTATTGTTCTGAGGGTCCAGATGCTTCAAGTATGTTTAGGTCAGGGGTGTCAAACTGGTTCCAGAAAGGGCCGTGTGGCTGCAGGTTTTCTTCCCAACCAATCAATAGCACACCAGACTCCATTCATCTCATCAAGTGAGTCCAATCTGAACATGATGACTTGATGAGATGACTGGGGTCTGGTGTGCCATTGCTTGGTTGGAAAGAAAACCTGCAGCCACACGGCCCTTTCTGGAACCAGTTTGACATCCCTGGTTTAGGTAATCCTTTGGTGATCTCTGCCCCACATGCATGGAGTCATTGGAGACGACAGAGATCTAACCAATGAGGAAGCCTGGAGCATAAAAGCTCTTAGGGCGAAATCTACACCGTTTTTTTTGTAAGTTCATGCAACATTTTTTCTTTATTAAAAAAAAGTTTCTCCACAGTCTTTAACATAGCGAGCCTATAGTAGACGGAGTACAATCAGAGAAGAAAAACAGTGTGTGAAGGGACACAGCTGCTGAACGCTGTAGAGGCCTGAGCTGCTGCTCTGCCAGCCTGTGTGCTCATAAACACCTGCAGGGTGCAAGATATCCATCTGACTCCAAGGTTGATACCGCTCCTACAATGAAAGGGTTCATGAAACTGACGCAACTACAGCTCACAATTACGTGAAGCAAAAACAATGAAGCGGCTTATAAATATGTTTTCTGTTGTTTAAAAATGCACTTTCTAATGTATCCATAGAAAGCTTGCCAATTAAAGGCAAATAAATGCTCCTTTTTCATCCTCTGATCTTAACAGGCGAGGTTCAACGACATAAATGGAAATTGAAAACTTGAATGCAAAAAGAGTATTGTTAAACTTTTTCGAGATAAGCACAGACCGAAGACTACAGTCCTTAAACGGCCAGTCACATTGACTTTTTTTAAATACGCCAGTAGCTTACTATTATTATAGAGTGTTTGTGCTGGTGAATTATTTTATTAATGTAGTTTAAATTTTTTTTTTTTGCTAGTAAATAAAGTCTTCAATTATACTTTGAATGACAAAACTAAGTGATCGGATGTACGGCACGGTGCATGTGCACTGGGAGTAAACAAGGAAGTGACATGACCAAGCAAGTTATCACCTTCCAGTTAAGATAAGAAAATGAAGAGCAACATCCATTGTGGGAAAAAAAACACACAAAAAATGTTATCCAGAGAGGAATATGACTCTCAAAGCACTGGGTAGTGATGGGTTTGAGGCATCTTAAAGTGTTTTGACACCTTACCAAACTATTGATCTTGTGTTGATACTGTCTCACGGAATACTGACACCTGCTGGACCTTTAAAGACACTACAGGCAGCTTATTTGATGGACTAAACTGAATTGATTTAATTACCTACTACAATCATATGATTTAAATTAGTGTAGGTAGTATTGTATTATTTCATATCTTTTATATTTATAGATACAGTCAATAAATAATGTAAATATATCACATGAAAATTTAGGGGAACGTGAGTTAGAATGCTTGTGGACTAGGATTTTAAATCATTTTTAAAACAATAAGTGCAGTAAAAACAGTAAATAAACTAAGCGTCAATTTGAAATGGACTTTAATTCAGATAAGTTGAGTGATAACTCAGAGTATAAGTTATCACTCAAAATGAGAAAATAAAAATGAAACAGCTGAAACTTTTCTACTCCTCTTGGGCTGCTCCAAATTTCTTGATAATTTCAATGATAAACTGTAAAAGATGAGACATTGTTTTTTAGCAGATGCATCATGTTGACCGATCCATTTTTAAACACAGTTTAGTGTATCAGTCAGTTAGAACCAACTGCTGTATCGGTCACATGACTTTCTTGAAACGACACGAGCACCGATAGTGTTTTGCTCTATGGGCTCGACGTATCGGTGGTGCTGGACCCGTCACTCGCACCGGGTATACAGAATGGATGTTTGTGAGGCAAGAACTAAACCTGCAGTGGCATTCAGATGTCACTGTGGAGTCTATTGATGCACGACTAAATGTCAATATGAACAACTATGCCCTTTCCATAGTATCTTAACATTGTTTTCTTTCTAATGATTTTTTTTTATTAATCTCTGATAGAGGATGATTTTCTGGAACTCAGCTGTATATTTATTTAAATACCATTTGATCTTCAGCCACGCTGAGCTGTCATTTTTCCATAAGGCGTGGCAGCACAGTGGGATCTATTAAGCCGCGTCCGCTGCCACTGTTTTTTGTTTTTTTTTGGTATTGGTATGAAAGCAGACTATGCCCCTTTTAAGGTCCAACTCTTTATGATTTAACAAACAAAAAACATAACTACTATTAAGTGAACAATGTGACTGAGTTCATCAGATTGAAATGTTCACCTGAAGAAGATGAAGTTCTCTTGCTAACAGCACTATGAGGTGATAAAGTACTTCTTCAGTGTATTGTTCATCCAAAAAGTGATGCTGTTTTAAACTGTCTCCCTGAACTTGCATCTTTTACGACTGCGAGTTGGTAACCAGTGAAGAAAGGAGTCAAGCTCCAGTCTCGATACAACCTGAGGAATCTCTCTGCTTACCTTGTAGCCATCGAACTTGAGTGGCTGGGCCGTAACCCTTCTCATTGCGGGCAGCGATGCGGAAGATGATAGCCGGCTTAGTCGTGTAGTCGATGTGGGCATTTGACAGGCTGGACGACTGCACCAAGCAGGAGGGGTTGGGTCCACAATACACTCGCATGAAGGCTAGCTGGGCCGGGGTGGAAGCCTTGGCCTCAGCTGTCTGGCTGCTCTGGATGGCCAGGTATACGGAGTACTCAATGATTTTCCCTGATGTCACTGAAGGCGGCTCCCAGGTCAAGTGAGCACCATCTGGACTCTGAAGACAAAAGTAAATAAATAGAATGTCATGGCAGAGGAAAGTCACATTTCCACATCCCAGAAACATTTGGCCAGTGATAAAATTCTCACCTTGCTAATTTTGATGGCACATGGGGCCCCTGGGAATCCAGGTAGGCAGGTCTTGAAAGCAGAAATCTCAGAGAATGTTCCACGACCACAGGCATTGATTCCAGCCACACGGAACTTGTACGCCGTTCCAGGCTGCAGCTCCATTTTCTTCATCTGACTGTAGTCCGGTACAGCGCCAGAGTCATCCTACCCCAGGAAAAGAAGAATGTTAAAGGAATGGTCTCTGAGAAGAACCCGTCCACAGACTTGCACCCAGAACCCACCAAACTTACATCTCCTTGAGAATCATCTGCTGGCACATAGAAGTGAGTGACAACCATGTTTGTCACTTTTACAATTCCAACGTCAAACCACTGGTTCTCCTTTTTAACAACAGGCTTCACTGGAGTTGGCTGAGGGGCCTGTTTCTGGACATGAAAAAAACAAAACAAAGTTAAAAAAAAACACTTTTATTCCCATTTCCATGTAAAGTATTTCTGATTCTGATTTCCTCAAGAGCAATCAGGTGCTGAACCTCACCTCTCCCTCAATTCCATTGGCCACCTCTGCGAGAGTGGCTGCAGCTTGGAGCTTAGCTGGACTTGCTACGGATATAGACGGTGCGAATGTACTCGATGGAGCCAGAGCTGGGTAAAGGAATAGGACAATAAAAATTAGACCAATGAAGGTTAAAAACAGCAACACATAAGAAAGAAGACAAAGACTTACTCTCAGCAGTGGTTCGCGGTAGGAGGGATGCCACAGCGCTAGTGACTGAGGCAGCCATTTCATTGTGTCCGTTGCTTTCTACGGACGGGTCATTGAGGCTGTCAGCAGGTGCCAGGCCCTCGGTGGGAAGGCTGCTGTCTACCGCGGCCTGCTGCGCTGCAGCATGAGCTTCCTGCAGTTGCTGCTGCTGCTGGACCAGAGCTGCTAGTTCTTGCTGGGTCAGCATGATGGGGATGTTGGTGGGCTGCTGAGTCTCTGAAGAACCATCACCTTCATCTGTAAACAAGTTAACTTATGTTCAAGACTAACAAAATCTAATTTTCCTTCAACAGCGACACAGACTTTAGCCATTTATGTTGATTCTGTCTTTAACTCCACAGTATTACTTCCCCTTTTCAACGTGGCTGTGAAAGAATTGTTTCCACTCAATGCACACACTCACTCATTACAACTTGTTGAGCTGCCTGGAGAACAGCCTGGATGGCCAGAGCCTGCGCCTCTTCTGTGGCTGCAGCCTGGGCAGCAGCCTCGGCTGCAGCAGTTACGGCCAGCTCTTCGTCCGACAGCCCTGTCACCATCAGCGTGGCCCCCTGGGCCTCCGACATCAACTCTGAGGGCAGGTTCAAGGCCGTCGCAGCAGCTGCCTCTCCCTGGAAGACCAGATGACAAAGAAAATCAGCTGTGATGATAAATCTAACGAGGTTAAGTCTGACCATGTTTACGGTTGTGTTTAATTACCTCTGCATGTGTCTCCATAGCTGCTGCAGGCTCCTCTGCAGGTGCAGCTTCTGCTGATGCAGGTTCTTCTGTCTGCATCGGCTCCTCTGTGGCGCCGGCTGCTGTACTAACCCCTTCTGTGATTGATGAAATCGACTAGAGGGAAACAAAAGTCACAGACACACACAATAAATACACAAAGACAGCCTTTAAATGCAGCAAACAGTCTGTTAAAGAAGCTGCTAATTCAGAGAAGTGTTTGCTTACAGGCACTGAAGGCCCAGGGGCAGGTGTGGACTGAGTCACGTTTGTGATGGCTCTGCCTTGGGTGGTTGTAGCTACACTAGTAGCTGCAGTGGTAGCAGCTTCCTCTGTGGTGCTTGTTCCTTCTGCTCCTTCCTCCGTTTGCTGGGTAGCTGAAAAGGGTCAAAAACAGTACCTCAGTTAAAGATGCAGGGGTAAATAACTGGTCACAAAAATGGTTAAAATAGCATTTCAAATGGATCACATTTACTTATATTAAGAAAAGCTGTCATTTGATGTAAGAGATTAAATAAAGATTAAATCAGCCAGACAATCCTCTGGACTGTTAAAATAAACATCGGAACATTGCGGGTTTATTGTGACTATAACACCTGACAGCGTCTGTTATTAAAAAAGGGGAACATGAACCTCCAAATATCTTATCAAATTAGTTGGGTGTTAAGTCGATTGGTCTTTATCTGCTGTTGTTTCAGCAGCGCCAACACTAGTGACCACATACCTGTGCCTTCGCCTGTCTCCATGTTGCATGTAGCGGTGGTGGCAGTGTTGGTGGTCCCGGTCTCGTGTGTTTCATATGGTGGGTTGGAGCAAACCCTCTGCACCTGGCCTGTTGTGGTGCTGGTCTGGTCCTCTTCCACGCTGGAGCTCGCTGTGGACGGAGTGTCTTCGCTCCCCGTTTCAGGGGTGGGATTTGTGTGATCGCTCTGCGTGGTTCCTGTTTCGCCTGCGTTCATGCTGGAGGAAGCTTGTGTCGCTGTGTTGGTGGTGCCCGTCACGTGGGTCTCATGGGGGGGATTAGAACACACCTGCTGGGCTGCTCCCATGCTGGATGAAGCTGTGGTAGCCGTGTTTGTTGTCCCGGTTTCGTGGGTCTCGCAGGGTGGGTTGGAGCACACACGTAACGTAGACAAGTTTGAAGATGCCGTCGTGGCTGTGTTGGTGGTTCCTGTTTCATGGGTTTCACAGGGTGGGTTGGAGCAGACCTGTCCTGAACCTATTGTAGCTGAGGAGGTGGTAGCCGTGTTGGTGGTTCCTGTCTCGTGGGTTTCGCAGGGCGGGTTGGAGCAGACTTGTCCTGCTCCGATTGTAGCTGAGGAGGTGGTAGCCGTGTTGGTGGTTCCTGTCTCGTGGGTTTCGCAGGGCGGGTTGGAACAGACTTGTCCTGCTCCGATTGTAGCTGAGGAGGTGGTTGCCGTGTTGGTGGTTCCTGTCTCGTGGGTCTCGCAGGGTGGGTTGGAGCAGACCAGGGTGACAGTACCAGAGCTGTCTCCTGTCGCTCCAGCCTCAGTTGAGCTGGGCTGTTCCGAAGTTGGAGAAGCCAGAATGGATACGGGGAGATCCTGCACAGGCTGGGCTTCTACACCACTGGGGGTTGTGATCAGAGTAACCTGGGTGGGCTGGTTCTGAGACAGAGGCAATAACATATTAGACACCGTAACGGAACCTTATCTCTTCCTTCTACTATCTTTTTTTCCCCTAAGTTTCGAGATGTTTTAATCACATAGAGCCCCACCTGCACAGTCATCGTAGAGGAGGGCAGTGTAGAAGTAGAAGTCAGACTAGTCTGAGCAGCTGACACCGTTATGGCAGTAGGGTTGATCACCTGGCTGGACAGTGTAGCGATGTTTCCCAGTGTGGTGATGGGTGTCACCAAGGAAGCACTGGAACTGTCTGCTGTGGCTCCTGCCAAGCTAGTGGACACCGTCCCTGTGACAGTGCCAAGTGTGGTGACCCCTGGAGAAAGTGCAGAATGAGTTAGTAAAGACAGTTCAAGCCTCCAGGACCCTAGAGTTTGAATTTCCACTAAATTAAGACATCAAGAGCGTCATCTCCTGCCGGTCAGACATGAACTGTTTCTTACAAAGACCCTTTAGTAAAGTTTGGAGAAAAGATGGGTCTTCTTACCAGTGGTCCCCTTGACAACCAGAGTGGTCACGGTGGGCTTAACAGAGGAGACCGTCACTGGAGTAACCAGACGGACACCTCCCACTGTGCTCATGGGCACAGTACGCAAAATCGTACCAGGCTGTCCTGGCGCCCCCTTTAATACCACCTATATAAAAAAAGTGACACCCTGTTTAATAATTATTCATAAAAACTAACATATTAATAACAATCATAAGAAATACCTGTGTCAGCCCCTGCTGCCCAGCTGCAGTGGTCAGTTTGGGCACAGCAGTAATAATTTTACCAGGAGTTCCAGTGGTCATCACCTTCGTGGTAAGGATTGTTATTGGTGTTTTCATACCTGCACTGCTGGTAACACCTGCATAAAAAAAGGTTCAAAAACTGATTTTCCACCAGCAACGTCTTTAAATCTGCCTGAGATAATTGCAAAAAGCATTATCCATCAGTACACTCAGGTGCTTTTTCACTAATAGATCATAACACGACTGAGCTCAGACCTGTAGCTCCAGGCTGGGTCATGATGGCCGACATGGGGATGGTCTTAATGATGGTGGTGCCCTGCTTAGTAGTAGTAGGTGAGACGCCACTTATATTGAGGATTGTGGGCTTGTTTCCTGTGCCTCCGGCCTGAGAGGTTGTGATGATTGTTGTGGGCTTCCCATCGGCAGAAGTCACCAGTTTCAGGATGGTGCCAGCTGGGAGGGGACCTTTTGTCTGGGAAGAAAATCATATATTTAACAACAACTCACAGCGATCGCCTAGTTCCTGTCAGCAGTTTTGAGCGACCTCGATTTGATTCCTGCACTCATGCAGATAGCTGACCTGTATGATCTGTGTGAGAGGGTTAGTGGAAGCCTGGCCTGTGACAGCTGATGTCTGCACTGGCTTGGTTTGTACCACAGACATCATCTTTCCAAGGTTGGAGATCTGCCGACATAGGAGAGAAACTCAAGTTCATGAGACACTAGAAAGCATTGGACAGCACAGGCAGGTCAGAGGAAAGGTGGTCTGCTAAATTTGTGGCTCTGAGTTATTGCTTTCCTAACCAATCAGTCCTACAAATGAAGATCATCAATCTCAGTGTTTTCGTAGTTCAGCTCTTCAACAGTTACTATAAGCTAACCACCCCGCTCAATGTTGCTCATATTTAATGTTATCTCTGTCACATGCACACCTGGTATGGAAAAATGCTGTTTACACAGCTAACCAAAAATGGGGACTATATATATATATATATATATATATATATATATATATATATA